GAAATGAAGGAACATCGCTGCCGCCCTGGCGGTGTCATTCCCACACACTTCGGTTGGCCGCCTGCCAGCAGACAGGACATTCAAAAGAAGCGGAGTGGACTGAGAGAAAGCAGGAGCCGAACGACCACAGCTGACCCCTGTTTACCACAGCAGACCACACTATTCACGGAGGTATAACGTGTGTTCTGCGTCACTAACCTGCACGGACTTTTAAAAAGACGTGCTTTATTAAAAAATTATTCATAGGTTTGCATTTCACACATTTACTGGTCAGTAACAAATAAAAATGTGGAAAAAAGAGGAAATATATATTCATTTAAAATCTAGTTTGAAAACACGTGACAAATTCTAAAAAATGTAGTCTTTGCATACATGTTGGTTTCATACTTTAAAAAAAGGTTATACCACTTTCTACAAAATTATTTACTAATATTATTCAAAAATAGTAACTCCTAATAACTCACTAATAATAATAATAATAATAATAATAATAGGCTAATACCTAATAAAATTATTCATTAATATAAAGTGGTGTAACCATCAAGTAAAAGGTACTAAATAATTTACTTGCAAATTAAATACACTTGAGTGTACACCTCAAACAACTTATAATGTAGGCTACAACTTTAACATTATTAAAAAGTTTCCTTAAAATATCTAAAATATAGATACAAATCCAGGGACTTTCTTAAGATGCTTCATTTTACCTGGACTAAACATGCCTTTCATAAAATATGTTTAAAAACTGAATGACCTTGACAGTTATGAGGGCTCTAAAGGGGTCCTCTCTGTTTTATGATTTTCTTATCACATGACAACAAAATGGCAACTTGCATGTTGGTTATGTCACGCTGACTTTGATATTACGTTTTCCCCCCAAACATTAATAATATTTTAAAACAAAATTGCAACAACGCTAAATTTAAATAACAACAATAATAATAATAATATGAAAAGATTATGTCAGACTACCTATGGCAAGAATTGCATCCCCGCCCCCCAAGAATCCCAGCCTTTTCCTCTTATTTAGTCAATTACACAGCTAGGACAATTATTTTTTTCTTCTTTTAGCTCAACAATTAAAATATAAAATCTTATTTTTTTATTTATTTAGAAATTAAAAACATGACAATTGTAGAAGAGGTAGAGACTTTATTTTTTATTATTATGAAAAAAAATATATATATAAAAAGCATTTTAATGGGTTTTTGAATAACCTCAGAACTAGACCAAAAAATGAACATCACATCATTCATCCATAATGCATAAAATAAAATGGCAGCCCATAAAATGTTGCTTGTTGCGAGTAGTTTACTCTGAGCTCCACTGATGCGAAATATTAATTAATACAAAATATATATTAATATTATATTATTTGCATAACAAAGTTTCAAAAAGTTTGGAACTTTTATACTTTTTCCCCCCATAATATATTCTGTAGAGTAACAAAAATATCTCGAAATTAAACCAAACAGTAGGATTACAAAACCATGCAGTCACCACGTGCATCCTTCTGACATTGTTTGATGGTAAATATGAATGTGTTGAAGGGAAGTTCAGTCTTAAAGCGGTATGACGACATATCAACTTTTGCTCCTAGAGAAAAAAAAAATCACAGGCTGCACAGTGCATAGGGAGACAGAGCCGTCACAAATCTCCGTCCGTAACATTAACCCTCAAATCTTTCACAATGCACGTGCACATGGAGTAACACCCTACACGTTCCGCTTCGACATTTAAAACGTCGCCAAAAAGAATCGCTGCGTAACGCGAAATGTCTTTGTTTATCTGTGCGTTTTCTCCGTCTCAGCGACGCCGAAAGTCCAGTTCGGTTTTTACGTGAAGCTCCAAAAATCTATGAAATGTGTTTGCATGTTCTTCTGGATGTAGAGGTGGGATTGCGAGAATCGAAAGGTTGGTGAGCCCACACGCTCAGCTTCCCAGAAAGTACGTTTAGCAATAATTCACTATTCTCTTCCTCACGCGCTCGGCTCGGTCGAAGGCTACATGATTTCTGGAAGTGGAGAATAAGCTTTTTCTCCCTTCTTTTTGCCATCAATCTCTACGACAGGCTTGGAGAAGGGGCGCTCGGACAGTGGAAGCCCTCCCCTGTGCTCGGATCTGCCTTGGTAGGTGCGAATAAAAAAGGGGCCAGTGTTTGCAAATATGCAGATACATCGAAAGGGGGGGAATCATACTTTGTTGAAGTCTGCTCAAAGTTGGGATGTCATCTTCCTAACGATCTTGTTGGCTGGGAGAACGGGAGAATGATTGTGCCGTACATTGTCAGTCGTGCTGCTGCAGACCGTACACTGGCACCGCAGAGACCCAGGTTTCAGATCATTGAGTCTAGACAAAAGGTATTTTTGTGCTGCTTTAATGTCAAATTAAATTAAGATCCGACACATATTCTTAGCGACTGGACAATATTGACTCGCTCCCGCAAATTTTTGCTTTATTTTCCTTTTGGAAACACGATTAGCCTATACGCTTCCCAGGAAGTAATATTGCTTTGGTTCTTCAGAATGCATGTATCACATTTAATCAAATGACAGAATATACAAATTCTAATCGTATTTAAAAGCTATGGTGGGCTGTATAACTTAACACTCTCTTGAATAATTTGCTAGTAAAATTATGATGCTGATGACGTTTATGATAGTTGCTCCAGCATGTAACGACAGGTGGTATTGTAGTTGATGATGTGTTATGTTATAGACGCGGAACTTTTCTGCCAGCAGCAGCACACCTGTGCGTTACTAAAACGCGGTGGTCGTTAATATAATTGTATATTGTAAAATACAAAAGGTTTTTTTTGACTGTATTTCAAATTTGTGGTTTAGTCGCTCGTGATTTATGGTGATTTGTTGAACTCATCGCGGAGGGATTAGGCACAAATGTGCGCTTCATTGTTCGTCGAGAGGATATTATCAGGCTGATGTCGCCGCCGGAGAGCGCGCGGGGATTTACTGCTGCAGTCCGCTGCCGACAGCGCGCGGCGCTCATGCACGCACTGTTTGTGTGATTGCCAGTCATTAACTTTCGCTATGACGCAAAGAGTTGGAGAAGTTTTCAAGCGCATTTAACTTTGAGCTATGCAAATGCTCAGGGCGCCGCGCGGCGAAGTCCACATCTGGCGGAGCGAGCTTTAAAAGCTTTAAAAACATGAATTATTGTCAACGTCCGCTGGGTCTCGTGCACAAGTGTGTTCGTGTGTAGTGCTTGCGTGTGAGAGCATGCATGCGTGAGTGAGTATGTGTGTGTGTGTGTGTGAAGCGGTGTGAGGAAGAAAGACAGCGGCAGTGGGAGATAGGTGTGTGAGTGTCTTGAGGGAGATGTTACGTTGGACTCCGCATTACCTGAATTACTCGATATCTGCCTGCGTGACGTTGCGAAGAAACCTCACAGTGATTTTTTCTCCTCTGAGGCTTCGGCTCTTCAATTGCAATGGTTTATTCATTACTTTAAATTTGTCTTGGACATTTTACAAATATTATAAGTTTAGTGTTCTTGACTGACTGACTCTAAAATGATTTTTTTTTAAATAAATGGATAAGAAATAAAAAAGACAAACACATAATTATTATTATAAACACATATATTAATGTTTATATTAGGCTATAGGCTTTCAGTAACACACACACACGTGAAATTTACTGAATATTACCTACTGTTTTTTAGTATGTAAAACAGTACTCAGAATATTTTAAAATATAGAATGGCACTGAAGAAGCTTGTGTGTTTTTTTTTTTGCTAATTTTCTGCATTTCTAAAATAAATAAGGTAATTTTGCATACAAATTGATGTATTAAATTTGCAATGTAATTTAAAGTAATTTATGTATTCAAATTTAAATACATTTTTGTATTAATTTTAATACAAGTTTAATAAAAGTTTTGGCAGTCTAAATAGAAGTAGTAGCCTATATATTTAATCATGTATTCAAGTAATCTAACATTTTTTTAAAGAGTACACAACAGTTAGCAGAAATAAGACTAAAAAAATCAATGATATCTTATCAGTTTGTTGTTTATAAATTTGTTGTATCATGCGTAATGGACCATACAGCAGAGTCACATTTATTTATATCCTGATTTTAAGGTCACTCATACCCGCTAGCCAATCCACTCTCTGTCTTTTGTGCTTTATTCGCATCTAATCAATAGACTGGCTTATTTAGGGATCAATGTGCATTTCCATTGTCATGGTCTCAACAGTCCATTTATTCTAATGCACTTCCTGGACAAACAAATGGCTCTAGAATCTACATTCCAAATAACTATTTTGTTTCCCTGGAACAGGAAATTGCTGTATACTCTTAAAAATCTCGAAATACGAAAATAATATTTTGTAATGAAACATTTTTATCGTCCAGATTTTCTCACCTTTCTTCTGCCTGTTCTTTCTCTTTAAGCAGGCTCCTCATCTGCTCCTCGATTTCCCGCAGGTTGCCCTGAAGCTGCACCTCTGGATTCTGAGAGTCTAAAGAAGCCAGCCGATCACTTCCTGTTTCAGCCACATCCTGTCCTCTTTCTCGCAGAAGCGCGAGGGTACGCTTTTTTTCTTGGGATAACTCCTGAAGAGACAGAGTCAGACTTTTGCTATGGACCTTTTTATTTTTTTTAATGGGACACACCTCATGGATAATAACAAGCCACAACGTCATTGTAAAATGTCTTTCATATAACTCTGCAGTCTCATTTTTCTCACATTACATAATTTCACCTCAGATCAGTCCTGCTGTGCTTCACATCTGGGTCCTCCTGATCACACCCGGTTTACTAGGATTTTGTACGAATTTTTTTTATTTTAAATATCATATTTTAAAATGTTTATTTCCGGATACCTCTAAAGACTTCTGCAGAAGTGTGGTAAGATTATGAAGCTCCTCTTTCTCATTTTCCACTCCTGTCAGACACTGAGCAGTACCGTCCAGATCTCTACCAACACAAAACAACAGAAAATGTTTCAGAGGAAGTTCATCTATGTTCAGGGTAAATTTAACATGTTAATTATTAATGTCATATTTTATGCATACAAATGCTGGATTGCTATCAAACCCCATTTATTATGGCTGGGATAGATAGATAGATAGATAGATAGATAGATAGATACTGATTTTTACAAAATAAACTGCATTAGTGAAAATATTATAAAAGTGAAAATAGTGTTTCATTTCCCACTGGGGTGAGAGAAACCAAGCAATCCTGAAAAGAGAAAAACATGTAGGTCCGTTATATAAATAAAAATCCTACATACATACATATATAAACAAACTCCACACCGAAACTGTTGTATAATATAAATGTATATAATTGATTAATTATTATAAATTATTATAAAAATTAGAAATAATTATTATAAAACATACACATACACACAAACACACACACACACATATATATATATATATATATATATATATATATTAATAAACACACACACACACACACACACACACGTAAGAATTAAAAACATACTCTGAATAGTATATACAGTGTTGGGGAGTAACTAGTTACATGTAACAGAATTACATAATTTAATTACAAAATTTTTTTTTAATTGTAATTAGTTACAGTTACTGAGAAAAAAAAACTGTAATTAAATTACAGTTACTTATGAAAATGTTAACAATTACAATGGGGGTTACATCTGAATTTTTTTCACACCCACACCCACATACACATTTAATTGATTTCTTTCGTAAATTGCAGTGACTGCCCTAAAATATGAGACATCAATATTTCAGGAATTTAGGACACATGCTTATTCGATAACTGTTTTTTTTCCTATTTGGGTTTATGTATATACTTTATTTTTTAAGATCTTTTTTTTCCTGACAGTCTGACAGTAATCAGTTGAATACTACTGTAAGGTTAACCCTGCCTGGTTTAAATGTTTGAAAATGATTAACAGTTGAAAACATTAGAAATTTAGAAAAGTAATCAAAAAGTAATCAAATGTAATCAGTTACATTACTTTATTAAAGTAATTGAAATAGTTACACTACTTATTACATTTTACATAGGGTAACTTGTAATCTGTAACCTATTACATTTCCAAAGTAACCTTCCCAACACTGCAAACTGGACACCTATTAGCGTTCCTCTGAGGAAACAATTCAGCCCAGCATCATGTCTTCAGTTACTTCTGGCTTATAAAGGGAAATGCAGAGAGACCGTGACTGTTTTAAATGTTACTGAAAAAAAGGGTTGGTAGCACTTTTAATTTTGGATTAAGCATTAATACTAACCAAAAACATTTTTAATTTGTTATTGTTATCAGTATTTATTAATATATGAAGAGTTTATTTGCAAAAACAGATTTTTTTTAGTTATTTTTTAACCTAATCAAAATAACCCAACTGCAGTTTGATTTAGATTAATTGGAATGCACAATGAAAAAACTTGATTTTTGAAAATTGTTAAAAACGCAGTTATCTGTTTTTGCAAATGAACTCTTCATTTGTTAACGTTAAATACAGATAATAAAAAATGAACATACATGGACAACAATATCACATTAAACCACAGAAATTCCAAAATGACATTTCCCTTACATTCAACTTCCAAAAGTGCATTCATCTTTGCCATGTTACAATCATTTAGTTGACTAGTGCTATACGCTTTATTAACAAAAACATTAATGGCATAAATAAAAACACTTACACAGACAAGCTACGTAATATCGAGTTCATAATCGAATGCGACTCATCTGCAATTATGAACGCAATACTACAGTGATCTACGGCTCTGTGTATTAAATGCCGCTCCATCTGAAAGCACGTGGTGGAGATTTACTAATCACAGAACCGGCTTTACTGACGAGATGCGCATGACAATCACATGCGATTTATCGTGCAGCCCTAAGTTTGTTTGTTGATCACAAAGTACAAAATAGATGAGGAAAACTAGGATGCCGGGTGTATTCAAAGCGCTGCCATTACTGTCTAGAGTGCGTGGAATGGTGCGCTGTGATTGGTTGAGCGGATATATCGCTTTCTGCAGAGAAGGGAGACTGGCGTTTGTCACGGTTTGGAAAGAAAGAGAGAAAACATGACAGAATAACTCGGCGGATATCGCATCTTGCGTAAAATTAAAAATGGACTTTCCAATACCGACAGGATACAATACTGATTTAGGCGGAAACTGATATATATATATATTTTAAATGGCGTTTATCGCGTTTTGGAACCAAACTCTTCATATATAGGCTTTATATATATATACACAGTGATGATACTAAGTTTTATTATATTTTAAATGATTAAAAAACGTCTTGCTGGCAAATGCAAATGGGTAAAACTTAGTGGTTTGAAAGATTGTGGCAAAGATTGGTAAAGATTTAAAATGACAATTAGCTAGGCCTACTTAATATTTTGGGTCTGCACTGTGATCCTTAAATGGAGTCTTTTAATGTCATCTAATGATTCTTGTTCTAAATATGCCTGACAAGATTTCTTGGTATACAGACTATTGTTACACTGACATTTTTAAATTTTTTTCTGTAAAAAAAATGGTAAAAATGTATGATAGTCACTACACATTCCAATGTATGAAAAAAATTTATGCTGTATTAAACTTTTATATTTTGTACACACGTGTGCACACACACACACACACACACACACACACACACATATATATATATATATAAATATATATATAGCCTATATATATATATAACTGATACTTTAAAAACGTAACACTTGTTCACTGCAGAATTGTCTGTTTTAGAGTTGTTATTCAATATAGGGGGAGGACCAATTAGTCGCATGTTTGAGTAGGCATAAGCTGCCTTTGCAAACAGCTTCACTTGACATATTTCCATTAGAGCCCTTGCAAACCTAAATATGCATAAATTAATACATTTTGTCAGTTAACATGAATGTTTAAATAGTCTACTGCGGAGACATACTGAATGTGTCTTCCATTTAATCAGCCGAGATATCATTTTCATAACTTGTTCCAGTGCCAACATAAAACAAAGTAACATGAGTGTAAAGACACATTGTAACTGTCATATATGAACAACAATTGTTAAGTACAGCAGATGGAAATTAGAGAAGAAACTATGTCTATAATTTAAAGATTTTAAGGATTTACAGGAAGCAAAGTTTAATATTTCCAAAACATCCTCTCAAATTGCTGTTTGGGTGTAATTAGCCATTACTGGACTTCCTTCCTTTTAATGTAGCGATATCAGTCATAAAACTCTCCAGACACATCTTTATGTAGCTATTATCTTGTGCTTTAGTACATTAATGATTCTGCTGAATATGTGTGTAGCGGCTATCATAGCCACACTACTTTAATCTTTTATACTTTTTGACACCCAGGGTATTGCAGTTATACGATTAATAAATGCTGACCAAATCAATATTATCAGATTTATTTGACACATTTCAGACGCATTTTGCTTTTGGCATCTTAATATTTTAGAAATATTTATTTTATTAGTATCCTTGACTTTTCCTGAGAGAGGAAAAGATGAAGCCCAAAATTGTTACTCTGTGCCATCGTGTCATTGCTGTGCGACAGATTGGTTCAAATTGATCAGAACATTAACACAGCTTCAGTCAGTCAAACTTAAACAGTACAAGCTCCGAAAGTGTTAACATCTGCAGTAATTGATCATATCCTTTACACATATTATACCAATAACAACCCAGATAGCACACGTATGTCTGCAAGATGTCTGTTAAAGATCTCTTCATCTCGAAAGCATCTGCTGTGTACGAACATCTGATAGACATCTATAAGATGTCAGTTTTACATACATTATAAATCATAAACAACTTAAAGACATATTCTAAATGTCTATTTGAGATCTGATAGAAAATGTCCTATAGACGTATTGCAGATGAGCAAACAATGTAAAAGCATACGTCAAATAGACGTCTCTGTGATGTACGTGTGCTATCAGGGAAAGTTGTTGACTTGCTAGTCACATACAGTTTCCAAAAGTAGCCTTTTTCAGCTCCTAGCTACTTGCTGGTTTCACGTGACAACCACACTGTTTGCTAGCATCAATGCTAGTAGCTGTCATTATAGCAGAACAAAAACAACAACAATGTCTGTTTCTGTCAACTTTGCGTGCTTTTCCACGTTGTCTGGTCGGTGTTGCCTTTTCCTGTTCAGCTGTACGTTTTTTGACCTCTCAACCTCTATTTGAAAACGAATCCACTCTTGTCAGTCCAATGTCATTGCTCATTCCATTTGATCAAAGAATAATATCCTCAAAAGCTAATATCTTACATTTGTGACACACTGGACTTGAAGCAAAATAGGATATTGTAGTTTATGTAACCTAATGACAGCTTTAGGAAAGAGCTGTTTATATTCCATCCTCACTTTTAATGGCTTCATTTCTGTTTTTAGATCATATGAGGTTGCCGATTGCCATTACAGTACAGCCCCGTTCTGTCCTTTTTCACCCCTAACCAGTCAAACATTATTGATTATGGAGAGTAAAGAGGCTCGCTAACACACTAGAGAGCTGAATTGATCAAACTGATGTATTTTGGCAATCTCTGACACCAATTTATTATATTACTTTCAATTTAAGGATGGAACAAAAAAGTGTTTCTTATATATCTGAATTTCGTGTGAAGCGACTGACAAGACGCAACCAATGAATGATTAATCAGCTGAACTGATTCTGACCATATGACAGATGAGATCGGGATGAATTTGTCTGTGAATGATGGTCTTGCCTAAAACAGGTTGTTCTCAGTCTGATTATTCTTTCAGTTGCTTTATCTATTGACTCATCTGACTTCATGCCTTTTCCTGTAATATTTCAGAGCTTTGACATTCCACATTAGCTATAAATGGGTCATTATGTTTCCTCTACTGAGCTGCTGATTACATGGTTAAGGGTCTGATTACACAAGCTCTATTTGAATGAATACAAAGCATTACAATCATTCATAACCATGCTTTTGAATGGGCCTAGGTTAATTGCGATGGGGTCTGGCTTGCCATCTTT